AAGAAAAACCCTAATTTTCTCATTAATGTTATACTAAACCAAATTAAGCCAGGCTGCATGTAGCAGTAGTAGTTTATGTTTGTTGGGTATTTGGGTTTATAGAGAAGTGGTCTCAATGGAAATTTTGTTGCTGATCAGACCATGGCCAAAACCCTTGTTGCTGATCCTCCATGGGATTGAACATGTTACAGAAGGTTTCTTCTTGTTGAATCATTTGACAATGGAGATCTGATCTTGAAGAAGCTTGAAGTAGTTGAGTCATGCTTGTCGGAGGCCTTATTGATGAAGAAGAAGATAAAAAGTTTCTACCACTTAATTGAGAGGATGAAACAGGACTGCTACTCACCACTGCTGCTGTTCTTGAAATATCTAAGTTTATATCACAACTGCTGTCACTCACATTGCTCCAAGAACCCTGATCAGCTTCTTTCTTGACATTCATCTCATTACAATCTTTGTTTTTCAATGCCAATAACTGCACCAATAGATACAAAATCTTACTGTATATCAACCACTAAAGAAGATTTAATTTATAAAAAGTAATTAAAATGAGAATTGAGAGATAGCATGATTATGATTAATTAATTAATATTTAAACTTTTGCTCCTTAAATGGTGCTTCTGACACTGACATTTAAGATTTGTGATCAAAGGAAATTATAGTTAATTATCAAATACAACGACTTTTTGACAGACATCTCCAATCTTGGATCACGAATCATTAATCAATGATCAACAGAAATATATATACACATATATATATACCTATATCTACTACTACTACTACTTCTACCTATAGTTGAGATGGGTGCTGTGAAATTTTAGACGGGCGAAAGATAAAAATCTCATGTAACATCTTCAGTGCCATTTCCCTCTATTCATCTTGCAAAGTTTAATTTTCACCCTAAAAGAAAACTGAAATTGATATTTAGAAACTAACATATCCTATTATTACAGCTCCTCTGTACTAAAATTGCAGAATGCCATAATTTTCCTTTTTTGATGAAAATGAAGATATAGAGACCAAAATCTGTTGACCCAGTTGTTATTTTCAAAAACTAAACATACCCAGATCAACTACTTGAAAATATCTGATGATTTATAATAATTAATTATAAGATGATACCCAAAAAAAAGTAAATAATTAATTTACCTCTGCATTAAGTTTGTTGTTCTGGGCCTGAAGAGCATCGTTATCAGCCTTGAGTGCTTCAAACTGTTTCTTCAAAATTTCATAATCTTTCTCAAGCTGCTTTGTCTTCCACCTAGCTCTCCTGTTCTGAAACCATATAGCAATTTGCCTTGGCTGCAAACCTAAAGCCTTAGCAAGCTGCATTTTTCTCTCAGGCTCAAGCTTGTTACCCAACTCAAAACTCTTCTCAAGTGCTTTCACTTGCTCCAGGTTAAGCCTTTTCTTCTTCTCCCCACCCTGCAATCCATCATCAGACAACTCATCATCTCCCCCGTGAATCTCCTCACGCTTCTCCACACCCGAAAACGACATCGATCTCTTCATCATGAATCCTCCTCCTCCTCCTGCAACACATAGAGCAATTATTAAGAGTATACATATGTACAGACATGGAGAGAGAGAGAGAGAGAGAGAGAGAGAGAGAGAGAGAGAAAGGGGGTACCATGGAAGAGGTGAGGGGGGCAAGAGGGGAGAGAGGTGGGGGAAGGAGAGTCATCAAGAGGTTGGAACATGAAACCATGGGAGGACGGAAAAGCCATGTCAATAGGGGAAAACATTAAACGATGGAGATTGGATGAGAAAACATTTGATGATGATGATGGATTTGTAGTGGTGTTGACTTGCATATGACTGTATCAGAAATGGTGATGATCATCAGAGATTATTATTATTATAGCTAAGAAGAAGACATGAGAGCTAGGTGGTGATGGGTGCAGAGACTGAAACTACGCCAGCGATTTTTATGTTGAGAGACAGAGAGAAGAAACGAGAGGTGTAAATTGTGTAATATATTGCTCATCGGAGCTTTCGTGGACCCATCCTCTCATATTTTATATATATAGACATGCATATATGTGCTCTGCTTAATTTTTATCTTAATGGTAAAAAAACATCCATTTTGTTTCTTGTAAACCAAAGGAAACACTTGCAGCCTGAACTCAACACAGGTTACTGGGGATTAAGTTGTGTGTGTGTGTACACATACAATGCAGAAAGGTTAAAGTTGGAGAAAGTTTTACTTCTAAAAACACAATAAAAAGTTGAAAATGACTAACTAGCTAGCTGTTAAGATATATTGATGAAGAATCTAATATCAAATCTTGTTTACATTGATATTGAAAAAGAAGTAAGAAAAAGATAAACAATTACTTCAAATTACTTGAAGCTTACAAGGGCGTGTTTGGCTGGCGGAACGAAGCCTAAACACGTTTGGGACATTAATATCATCACTAGCTAATATTATTTTATATATAATTGTATTAGACAGTCACTATTTACATAAGATTTAAACAACTTAACCAAAAATAATTGCACAACTAAGAATAATCTTATTCTTAATTAAACAACAACAACAAATTCTTAATTATTTACTTACCAAATAGGCCAAGAAACACCAAATTCATATAATCAGATTTCATCAAGTACCAGAGAGCTTGGATCTTCATTTATTTCTAATTAATTTTAACACTGTCAACTTTCGAGTTGATTAGCAATTAGATAGCTAGCTGGTCTTACCCCTTTTATGGAGTAAAAAATAAAATCTTATTATGTTTTATTTTTATTATGACCAGTCAATTAAATATGCCTAAATATGTTCTTTATCACTTTTTTTTTATTAAAAAAAAAAATTGAGGAAGAGTGTTTTGCATAAACAAAGGAGCCAATAAATTTGGAGATTTTTAGACAACCACAGCAACAACAGAAAAAGACTTTCTTTGTTATGTTAAAATATTTGCTATTTGATTGGAACTCTATAAATTTACCTAGACAAAATTATTTAAAAGAAAGTTTATAAAAAAAAATTAGCAAAACAACTCGTAATAAAGGGCTATCGAGTGAAAAATAGTTTGTGAATCACCATCTGCAATGAAATGTTGAATTCCACTTGTAATTGCCAATTCCATATCAAAGACGAGTGTCGGTACCTCAATTTTTTCAACCCAATTTGGAGATGATATTTATCTCATTCTTACAAATATGACATTGTTTGCCCAATCTCTATGTATTGCACTAAGTCATATCCATCCTCTCGTTCTTAATGAGTATCATAGTTAAGCTTGTATGAGACCTGCGAATATAGAATCAACTACTCCATCTAATTGATTATTACTTATGTGATTCTAGTCTAATATGCACTTGATGGCGTTTTAGCTGCTTTGTTTATAGATCTATACATTTCTTTCTAATCAAATATCCTAAAAGATAGACATGAAGAATGCTTACAATTATTGTCAATGTTAGACAAACCATTTAACATCAAAGTATGTAAAAGTACAAAAATGACATATGGCTACCTCGAAGTGGTTTAATTCCCACAATTGCCTTACATGCTCATAATATTTAAGAGGTGTTTAATGGTTTCATCTGATTGTCCATGCGTAAGACAGTTGTTATCAACATTAACCCATTTTATGGGTTAGAACAACTTATGCACCAACAAATTCTTCCATAGATTCTAGACTAAGTGTTTTGTGCATGGTAAAATATGAGTTTGCCATAACCTCTTAAAGGAAAAATCAAAATTACCTTATGAGGAACTCCCCATAACCAAACATTAATGGGAACATATGGAATAATCTTGTTTTAACTATATAAGACACCCACTTTAAATGGCTCTATATAATTTTTCTAATAGTAGTCACTTGCTTAAGAGGGATATTCAAAATTTGATTAAGCTCAAAAGGTACAAACTTTGAATTAATGGGACATTCCATAATAGTAAGCTTTATTAACTCGGATACCTTATTGGGGTTAGGACTTGATGATCATGGTGACCATACCAAACTACAGGACTGAGAGGGCAATCATTTTTCTATCCTGATAGGGATACTTTATCTAATACTAACTCATCATATTAGTACGTTTCTTATTAAACTTTAGTATACCAATATTGTTCTACATTGGACTTAGTTCAAATAAGGGCTATCTTGAAATCACCATATATAAAATACCTAAAATGCAATAGCTTATGCAAAAGTGAGCTTTTATCATTTTGTTAATGTCCAGACTTGTTTGACAAGCATGGCTAGTTGGAAACTTTAAAAACCTCTAAATTCCATACCCCTTTTCAACTTTACTTGAATATAATTTGTACATACAACCCAATGGATTTTCACCTTACAATTCATAAGCTAATAGATAGAAAATCATATGGGACTTTTGGTTACCTAATATTTTATACTAAGGCAATGTAATTATAATTTATATTCTAGCAGAGTTATTTTACTAGAAAAAACTAATAAATACAAGTACATCAATTTTAACCCCTTTGATTTAGTAATCTTGTTTTTCTACTTTTTCTCTTGGTTACTCTTATTCTTGTAATTTCATTTATATTTTTTATTCTTATACTTGAACAATCCACTCACAATCTATATATTCATATTGTTTTATGTTTTTCGTATTGTGCATCTAATTCGTGTTCTTTAGCTTGTAATAATCCCTTATCCACCTTGTGACTCATTCTAATTATTTTTCTATTCACCCACCATCATTTTTTCTTAGTTTTGTAAAAAAACTCAAGATGTTTGGACTTTTTATCATAAGTCATATAAAAGTTTATCTTCAATAGAAACAAAGATTGTTATGACAATCCCATGGCATGATCTCTTCGTTAACTAGGAAGAATCATACATGAACAATTCTTTATTTTGTATTTATCTATCTGGTCACTGAAAATATTTAAAACAATAAAAGCATTATCGAACACATATTTCACTAAATAATGAATTTTAATCGTAAGAAATAAGTCATATCAAGATGATATATCTAGAAATATATCATATCAATCATATACCAAGCCCATTCCTTGACACCTGTTTGTCCACATAAACTTGCACCCCTTAAATCTCATATCAATGAGACTAAAATTAAATAAGACATTGTGAAAATGTTGAAGGTCCATTATCTTACTCAATTATCATATTTTTCATTCTAAGTGATAATCTAATAAAAACGATCCCCTAACATCAAAGATAGTGATACTCGTGCTTTAACATCCATATCAACTCTCATGTGCAATATTTTAGTTAAAGGATTTGACCACTCATAAATACATGTTGACCATATTCTTTTCTAGTCCTTATATCCATATATTAAATCGATGCTAGAGAATGATTACACTTGTGATGTCCTCCCTTTACAAAACATGAAGATCTCATGTTTAATTACTGATAATGACAATATAATTATCATAAACTCTATTCTAGTAGTTAAAATTTCTTTTAAGTTTCATTTCATCCTTTATTTCTTGGCATCCATTAAAATTTGAGAGTAAATATTAGTGCAAAGAGATGGCCTAAGCACCTAATTGTAGGGGACCTCTCGAAGCCCTAAAAATTCTAGCATAGGATACTTATTAGGATTGGAGGTTTACAACCTCTGCAATTGTCAAAGTTTCTATTATCTTTATAGATTGAGATATAGCACCCTTATATTCTCATTTCAAAAGGGTGAAAACAACTTCTAGCATGGAGTTGACTCTTGAGAAAATTATTTACGTGGACCCAACTTATCCTTTGTGTTGTGATGCAATGAACATGTTGATCACATCTTTAGAATGTGTGCATATGCTGAGATTGTATGGAAGCTTAGTTTACTTCACTATACTCCTAATATTCATGTGAGCTTTTTTGATTGGCTTATGCATTCTTCTAATTCTCTCCCATCGAATGCTTTGATATGGTTTATGAATGTTATACTAGGCACTTAGTAGAGGTATAATCCATGGACATGTAAAGGAACCCAAATCTCACCACATGATTTAATTCAAAAGTTATATATGAATATTAATGAAGTTCAAATTGATAGGGTTATTGTCATTTTCATAATATCATTAGAGTCTTTGATTATTACACAAAGACGTGCTACTTGGAGTTCTCCACTACCACATGTTTTTAAAGTTAACTATGATGTTACTACTATGAGGGATAGTTGTCCAGGACTTAGTATCGTATCTCGTAATTTTAATATTTTTCTTCTATTTTTAACTATTCATAAGATCTATTGATCTATATCTATAGA